ATAAAATATAAAAGTTATAAGAAAATGTGATTTTGCATAACCATGAAAAGATTAAGGAATTAGGGATTTTTATGCTATTATGATAATAATATAATCTATTATAATAGAAGAGATAATTAAAGTAAAATATTAAGATAAAAGTTATAAAGAAAATTACAAGATAAGTATAACTCAAGAATTTTAAGAATACTTGAATTATTATTATTCAAGTATATTTATTTTATGTTTAAAGTAGAGATATTTATACATTTTTAAGAATTTACAGATTTTATCTAAACTTTACTTATAACTTGTTTGCTAATTTAATTTATATTTACAAGTTTTAAAATAGAAGAACTATAAATAAACTAATAAAATAATAGGATAAGATATATGCAAAAATTAGAAGATAATATAAATGATAAAATAAAATAAAAAGTAAGATAAATATTTTAAAAAGAAAAGATAGTAAAGAAAAATAAATAAAATTTGTTTCTGAATTATTTCTGAAATATTTCTGAACTGTTAATGAATTATTTGTAAACTGTTATTAATTTTTGAGCTATTTATACATTTTCAATTTAGAAATATTGCTAGAATATTGCAAAAATATTACTAAATCATAGCTAAATTCATAATTAATATACTAATTAAATCATTCAAAATCACATATTTCTAAAAGTTCAATTAATTAGTCAAAAATTTAAAGTTTGAAAAATTATGAAATTAAAGAAATTTATGTTGCTACTATAACACTACTATTAATAAGTAAAATATTTATTATACTACTTCTCAAGTGAAAGTAGAATAAGATAAATGAAATTTGATATTTATAAAGTTGATAAAGAAGAAAAAGACTGTTCACATATCAGAAATAAGAGCAAAAGTAGAAGGTAGCAGTTTTATACAAGTTCCAGAATTAATTGATATGAAAATTGAAGAAATCAATAAAAGAGACTTGTAATTAATATCATTATTTAAATTTGATCCATCTTTTGAATCTACATTTTAAATATTATATCCAACAAAATACAAATTCATAAAGATTAAAAATAATACCTAAAATAGCTTGAAGTATATAAAGACTCCACTACATTATTCAGAGAAGTTATCAATAAGTTGATGGAAAACTTGTTACAATATATTGATTATTAGATATCAAAGTGAGTTTGAGATCAATAATATAAAACCAATATATGAGATCAAAAAAGATATGTAAATATACTTTGGAATGAATCTGAATCAAGCTTTATAAAATATTATATTAAAATCTATATAATTCAAAGCAAATTATCATTATACTTTTATATTACCTTCTTTTTTACTCTGCTAAATTTTAAAGCACCGGCTAAGAATGGCAATTAGCATTTGCTTAAATGGATAAGGAATTTTATATTTTGACTCATGTTTGACTGGATGGATACATTCTAATAATCATAAAAAATCTTTTCTTAATTAAAAGAAATACTGTTATCTATACTATATCATGAAACAGCTTTTCTTTTACATGTTTGTAATGTACCAACTCCTTGAGGTAAAACTTTATAGACGGTTCTTGTTTAGATGCGTCTGGTGAATCGCTTTTTATGGCGAATCGAAGAATAATCTAGCAAAAATAGGCAAAATGAACGCCAATTTTGAAAGCATTTCACTTTACAGGGAGACATTATTTTTCGTGATCTTTGCACTGCTCCGTCGTAGAAACCCCAACAATAATTTTGTTTTAGGGAACTTTGTGTTTTGACAAAGACTTTGGACATGTATGATCAATCGATCGACATAATATGCTTAATTTTTACGTGTGACAGATAATAAAAGGGATTAGCCTACTAGACACGATGATAATAAAAATTTTGTACGGGAGCTTATATTACACAATTGTACCCGTTTGTTTTTCGAGGAGATTAGAAAAAAAACTAATTATACAGTAAGTGGGAAATAAAGCATGCATGCTAAAATTCCACGTTTAGAATGTTTGTTAAATGCATGTACATGTCATCTACTTTTAATATCATATTCCTTATTTAGTTAGTAAAAAACAAAGATTTGCGTGAAATGCAATATGGATTTTCCGAATGATATTACATAAGAAACGTTCGTTCGATGGCGCAATAATGATATTATTTTATTATGTAAGAAAGATGTCGCATTTCTACTAACTCAATAAGTTTTCTTAATAATTATGGTCGAAAATAGTATATTTGAGTTTGAGGTCGCAACTCCATCAGGTGATCGTTTACAGAAACTTATCACCGAATATGTGGACAAAAAAGAATGTCGCACGCCACCAAATAGCTTTTTTATATATCGACAGCTATTGATCAGAGAATTACACTCTTCCGGTCTTAATTTGCAAGCTGTGGCGATCTCTCGGTTAGCTTCAAAAAACTGGAAAACAAAGCCTGCAAATGTCAAAGCTGTGTTTCGAGATGCAGCTCAAGTTATTGCTAAATATATGACTAGAAAAGAAACAAAACCTACAAAAAGAGGCGAATTCATTGGCCAGCTGTAATGACAAGCGAGACCATGCATAATAAAGTCATTCGTAAAAAGACCAAAACTGCTAGGAAATTGGACTATCCCAATTCAGAAAACCAAGAATTTGCCTCACATGAATTCCTATTCGAACGAGATGGAGCTGACGAAATCTTAAATAGGCAAATTAAATCTGAACCTTCTAAGCTCGGCCGTCAAGACGGAAAAAAATAACAAATAAAGCTAAAAATTTAAACAAAAATGAGCCTAGTTAAATTTTATATAATTTGTGGATTAAGAATAGAACAAAATATGTCGAAAGAATAACAAGAATGTATACCAAAAAACATATATGTATAAATATAAAGAAATTAAAATTACTTTTTGTAAATTAGCTGATTTTCTTGCAAATCACTCAGCATATTCTCGATTATATTAATATCAAATTTTGTTTTATATTCAAAGAAAAATAAATATTGAATTAAAATGATGAAAGAGCATGAGTGAATCTAAAAGCATAATTATGAGAATCGTCAAGCATCATAGTTATTTATTATGTTTTTTCGTTATGTATTTCGGGCTATTCTTATGAACTTATGCTAAGTATGACGCATGAAATCATCTGCCTCCGTTTCCCTACTGATTTATAAGAAATTCTTGTAAAATTCTTATTTCGTTCACATTTAACATTACTGACACATGTAATTTTCTACAATAATAAACATACTACTACATGTATTTACAAAAACGCTGGGTATTATTCACTGAATACCCGAAATAGAAACAAATAAATATCTAAATATAAAAACGACGCGAGTCACTCTTAAATGTTGGACTAAAAATACATTAGAAAACGATCGCTTTCTTATTGAGGCCAATTACATGTACAGTCGCCACGTAAAGTAGCGCCCGGTTTGCGGATAACATGAAACTTCAAATATAATTCGAATTTATTTCATCTTTTCATATTATATATAAAAAAAATTATTCCATATTTAATTAATATTTTGTCGACCCTCCTTTTGCCTCCAATACCGCATTAATTCTTCTTGGCATTGAGCTGATAACCTACCTATGAATATCAACATTAAATTTCGACCACTCCTCTTTTAGAGCAGCTTTGAACTCGTCTACAGTTCTTGGGAAGCTTTCTTACTTCTGGATATTATCCTATATAACAGTTTCCAAATATTTTAGGGTCGAGAGAATTCGCTGGACAATCCATAATCTTGATATTATTGCCTTGAACCATTCTGTAACTTTGATTGCGGTATGGATCGGGGCATTATCCTGCTGGAACACTGCTTTTTTCTCATTAATCTACGAAGTGTTTTGTGAAATAGTAAAAGATGAGTCTCTAGAATTCGAAGATAAGTATTTGCATTAATTTTTCCTTATATTCATCGCAAAATATTAATGGTCCTTCATTTCTCCTGCTAAACATCCCCAAACCATTACTGAGCGTCGACCACTTTTGAAAGTGGATGTTAAGCACTCAGCATTAAATCTCTCACCTGTATTTCATCTGTCGTGATTATTTTCCAATCTCCACACTTGATTCATCCGAAAAAATGATCTTTCACCAATCAAAGGCTGTTTTGTTCTTATTTTTTTTTGTACCAAGTAACACGTGCTTTCCAAAACAAATAACTTTTTTGCAGCAATATAAGATCGAATCCCAGAGTTAGGTAGTGTTTTTGTGGCAGTTGTCAGACTGCAGTTTTGAAATTTAAATTGTTCACAATTTCGTGCAATGATGCATCTCGCATTTTGGTGGCTTTTCATTTAAGTACATTTTTTTGTTTATTATTGAGAACTTGTGGTCTTTTGGACCACGGTAAATTATCTAATTTTTTATACTTGGCAATAAATCGTTACATTGTGGTGAGATCACACTTCATTTTTCTTGCAATTTATTCAGCATTCAAATTTTCCATATATGCTCGTATTTTTCCTTATCTATGTCAATCATCTGGATTTCGGTGAATGTCATAATTACATATAATATTATTTATTATAATATCTTGATAAAGAGAATGACATAAAAATTGGCATAAAATATTAAAAAAGGGAGAAATGCTACATATAAAGTTATCATTATTGTTATACATACAAATTGAAGATTACTTTATGCTTGTTTTGTGAATCTAACTCCCTTAAATTCAAATGTTATAACAATTATATTAGAATAACTCGAGAACTAAAAAAAATGAGCAAATGTTATTTTTTGATTTAATTTATTTAGGTTTGTGTTTGTATTATTTATCATTTGATTTGATAAGGATAAACTTCTTTCTTAATATATTATAACATAAAACAAGGTTGGCATTTGGCTATGGCCAAGAATTTTTTGGCCATTGGCCATAATTGGCCATCAGCCAAGATCAATAGCCAAAATTAGCAGCCAAAATTCTATTGGCATTTGGTCATGACCAAAATCTAAATATGTTGAAAATTCTATTTATTTGTGCATATAGAGATACTTAAAGTAGTATAAATATTATAAAAATATAAAATTCAGTATATATATAGTTAAAAGATTTACTTATATAAATAAATATATTTTTTATTTATATTAACTAGCAAAGTATTTCTTTTCTTTTAAATAAAGTATATAAGAACATAAAATAATATATATATTCTATATATATATAAAATACATCTAAGAATATACTTTATTATTCAAATTATTATGATATATTACTATCAAAAAGATCCTAAATTTTATTCTTCTTCAAAAAGAATATTTCTCTCATTTTATTATAAATTATAAAAATATTATTCATTATTATAAGAATAAAGCAAAAAAAAGATACTTATAATATCTTTAAAAATTTATCAAAATCAGATTATTCTAGAATTTTTGTTATTTATAATAAATGAAATATCATGTTTCTAATTTCAAATAATAACTATTCCTATTTAAAAAAACTAAAATTTAAAAATAAAATTAATATTAATACAAGTATAATAAAGTAAACTTTATATTATAATAATCTTTCTTTACTAATTAAGCAAATGAAATTATATCTTAAGAAAATATATTAGATTTAATATTTAAATTTTGCAATAATACTTTAAAATATTTATATTATGAAAAGAAGATTACTTAATATTGAAAATTAATATTTTAAATTGATAGATCTTGCTTTAGTTTTATAAATTTGTAAAGAAAAAAAGAAAATCAGAAATTTTAATAATTTAGAAAAAATTATTTATTTATATCTTTTAGAAATTCACTATAAGAGATATATTATCTATTTATTAATAACTAAACAATACTTTTTATAGCTATAGAGATTAAAAATAAACTTAAATCAGATTTTAGAATTGATATTTCTGTAAAAAGTATATGATATATATTTTGAAAAAATAGTTTGTTCTCTAAATTCAAGCAAAAAAATTTTGATTTATAAAGATATATCAAAAATATCAATTTATTTAAGACAAAAAATATTAAAATTTAATAATTAAAGATTGGTAATTAGTTTATTAGTCTGACAAAAATAAATTTTAGCTTTTTAAATTAGATAAATATAAGTATTATTAGATGAGAGATAGTAAATAATTAAATAACTATTATATATTATTCTTATTATATTATAAAATTTAATGATAGTATAATAGTAATTTGGAATTATATAAATATAAATAGCATAAAAGAACTTAAAAAATTAATATAAAAATAAATATTAATATTTATATTAATATATTAAATAAAAATTTATTATAAATACTATTAGTAAAAATTCTAAATAAGAAGAAATTTTTTATTAGTAAATAATAATTTCAATATATGTTAAGAATAATTCTAAAAAATAATATTAATTTGCTTGATTAATCAGTTTAATATTCTGATTCTAATTTTATTAAAAATTTATAAAATAAAGTTAATTAGTAATTATAATAACTTTTTATATTATTTTTAATTATAAAAAGCTTTATATTATATGAAATAATATTAAAGTAGCTTAATATTAAAAAGAATAAATAATATAATATAAACAAAAGCTAGCTATATAAAATAATAATTTTAATATCAAAGTTTATAATTAAAAATCTTTTTAGGTTATTTAATTAATATCTTAAAAATATTTAACTTTAAATATTATCTTTGAAATCTGTTAATATTTATAAAATATTAAATAAATTAATTATATTTTATTTAAATAATTTCTAAAAGAAAAATATTAATATTAATAATTATAATAATAAAGAATATATATAATAGTATACAAAAAAATGACAATTAGCTTTTTGATTATAATGAATTGAATAATTATTCAAATAATATAAGTATTTATATAAATATCTAGAGAATAAGTTTACTTAAGATCATAAAATAAAAAATCTTAATAAAATTTTTTATAAATTTGCATTTTATGTTCAAAAATTCAGCTTGTAAATTTGATTACAAAAAGTTATATATGATTTTTTATAATAAAAATATTAAATATATAGTCAGAAAAAAAGAAATTTATATTAAATTATTTATATTTTGTATTTATTTCTTTCTTATAAATAAGATCTCTCTATTCTGTACTTTTAGCCTCAGATCTAAATACTTTTAAATAATAAAAACAATCATAAGTTATAAAATTAAAACTAATTCATATCACATTTTATCTTGTTTATAACCATTAATAAAATAATCTTATAACTTGATAGCTGCGGACATGGTTATTACAAACACCACCCTCTAACATCTTACAACTTACATCACATACTACACATTACATATATACACATATTTTAATTTTGAAAATAATATTATCAAAATGAATATAGAATAATTTGTCCAATTTGTGCAGAGCATGACTGAACTTATTAAGACAGTTAAAGAAGATGATCCCTCTGGTTCTAAATCTTCATCTCATCTCTCAGTAAAATTATCTATCTATTCTGAAGAACCAAATAAAAATGTACTTGTCTGGATTATACAAGTTAAAACAATATTCCAGGCTTAAGAAATTACTGATGAGAAAATTCAGATACAATATGCCATCACCTTCTTGACAGATATAGCTTTACATTGGTATCTTAACAAAGTAAAGATAGATGATAGTGTTGAATCTTTTGAGAACTGGCAAGCTTTTGTTATAGCACTTAGAGAAGCTTTCCAACCATCACATTATCAACAATATCTTTGCAGATAACTTTATCTTCTTCATCAAACTGGATCTGTTCAAGACTATAGCACAAAGTTTAGAAATATAATTGGATAAATAACAGAT